GCGGGATGGCGCGCGCCCCGATTTGGGATTTGGCCCCACACCCTCCCGCCGGCCCCGCCTAGGCCTGGGCGCTGACCCTCGCGCCGCTCTCCGTGCCCGCTGCCCCACCCCTCGATGGCCACTGTCCTTTTGGACTGGAGCACTCTGGCCGCAGGGTGCTGATCCTGGGCACAGGCTGGGCTCAGTGGGAGCCCACTGTCCCTGGCATGCGGGCCCAGTACTGGTTCTTTCCTCTCCTGCAGGCCCTACTGGTCCCTGCCCACCTGGGTGGTGGGCGGAGGGCCTGGGCAGGAACTGGGTCAAGGTGACAGAGCTTGCCGGGGGTCTGTGACCTGCTGAGCCTGCGACCTACAGCCTGCAGGAGCCCTTGATGTCTCTGAGGACCCTCCTGGTGGAGTGGAACACTGTAGAGGTCACGTGGGCACAGAGGGAGTGCACCAGGGCGTAGGACCTTGTGGCCTGGGTCACTCTGCCTGGGGCTGGCACTGTGTGGCCAGGATAATGCTTCCTTCTTCCACCCTTTATCCACCACCTCATCATTTTCCCTTCAAGAGCTACACAGTCTTGCTTCTGTCACCACTGGGCCGTGCAGTGACAGCTGAAGTCCTTGGTGCAGACTCTGAAGCAGTTACTTGCAAATTTTTTCCTTTTTCCCTGTTTCCCTTTGGAGTCCCCTGCAGCTACTGGGCCAGTACAGTGACTGCCTGCGTCACAGATGGCACTGGGGGCTGCAGGCCAGCCCCCTCCCTTCCCTGAGAGAGACTGGGCCCTCGGTGTCTCAGAGACAGCAGTGGGCAGGACCTGAAGGGCCCAGTTCCAGGGAAAACCGGTGCAGCCGGGCCTCTGGGTGGCAGCTGGGCTCAGGGTCATTGCGGCTGCAGGGCCACTCTGTGAGCCGAGGAGGCCCATGTTTGCTTCAGAACTGTCAGGGAGGTGGGTTGGCAGGGCCTTTCTGGTGCAGGGGAAGGTGGGGACATCTGCTCCTGTCCTGTGGTCTCCATGTGAGAGGCTCTGAGCACAGTGCCCAGAGGCCAGGACACCTCCCTGTGAGCTCATGCGGAGTTGAGACTCTCGCTCTTCGTTTGAGGCAGGGTCTTGCTGTGTACATAGGATCCAGCTCACTAGCTCAGCCTGGCCCTGTGGTCCTCTCATCTCAGCTTCCGAGGTGCTGGAACTCAGATTTTTAAAAGCAGAATGGATGCCAGGTATCTGTGTAAACAACTGGTTTGCACGTGAACTCAGTGTACATTCAAGGAGGTCTCCTTCAGGACCCAGCAAGAGTCCAGCAAGAGCAGCACTGGACCCTTGGACAAGGTCCCTGGAGGGTAGAGGCTTGCACTCGGGGTTGCACACGACCTGGCCAGCCCCAGGCTCTTGGACCCCACACTACATCTGACCTAACCCGGACCCATTTTCATAACTTAGGTGACCACAAGTCCGAACAGCTGCACTGTCTGCCCCCCTGGTCTCTGCTGTGTCTGCAGAGGGGAAAGTCCCTCCCAGCTGCAAGTGGTGGCT